TAGCTTTACTTGCTGCCGACCAATTAAAGGGCAGGCTTAGCTAGAACTAAAAGATATTTCAGTAGTCAAAAAACAAAATTCGGTTTTTGAGAAAAAGAAGAGGATCAATTCTCTCCGGGGAGGACTGCGACGACGTCAAAGTGCTGACCTGAAAAAGAGGAAAAAACCATGTGTAGTCCATTTTATCACTCGGGAGCTTCCGTTGCCGGGACTCGAACCCGGGTCGCTCGGGTGAGAGCCGAGTATCCTAACCATCTAGACTACAACGGATGCGGACGACTTCCCAATCCGCCGCCGCCGATACACATCTAAGCCGCGTCACGGTACTACTCCCGTCTACCGACCCTACCCTCCGAATGTGTTACCACGCCCTGCCAAGTTTCTCTTCGCATGATATCACATGCCGGATCACAGTTATCGCACGCTCTCGTCTCGCACCAATTTCGGACGCTGCCCTGCAGCTGCAAACTCCCATTCCGTTCCATCGCTATCATCTTTCTCTTATCAAGTTACCAATTGCATGCAATTTACCCCCTATCCTCTACTCTCTACTTTTGAAGCATGTAAGAAAGCTCTTGCACCTACAAACGTAGGTTCAATTGTACTAGACTTATGATTTTCTACTTAATTAACTACATTCTTAATTATACTTTTAAAAAAAATTGAGAATACAAGAAATCCAATCAACTTGAGGGTTATATTTTTCTAACCACTGTAAACTTAAAATGATTGGATTCGAGGGGGATCTAATGATATTAAATACAACAAAGCTATTATGACCATTAGTTATTACTTGTATAGAAAGAGTTTTGTGACAAACATCTTCAGAAGACAACGAGCGGCCAACTGTGACTTCTACGTGAACAGGTTTAGTTTTCCTTATTAAAGATATGTTGAGTCTTTTAACAAATTCTTCATCTAAAAAACACGGTGAGGCTCCTGAATCTAACAAGGCAGAGGCTTTGTAATGTTTAGATCCTTAAATAATATTTAATGTAAAACATAGAGAGGATTCTAAAGAGTGAATAGGACCTTCATTAGATATTGTACAAGGTTCCAGCCACACGATTCCTATTGTAGCTAGACAAACTCGTTTTCTAATATATTATCTTCTTTGATATTCATACTCCTCATTTTATAATTACGTCACTTCTTTGGATAATATTGAGGAGTATGCTTAGGTTTTGCACAATATAAACACAATCCTTCTTGATGGCAATAAGACGTTTTTTGTTCAGTAAAAGGTTTGAAACGTATTGCATCAATTTGTATATCCTCTACTTCTGAATGTATGTATTGAAGAGGCATTGGTGTTGCCATTGAATTATAGTAATATTAAAGCCCACTTATCCTACTCTCAAATTGAAATTTGAAAAGTCGATTGTCACATTTTATAGCAAAACCAATTGCTAGACTCAATGTTTGAGGATCATGTAAGTTGAGCATCAACTTCTTTACCTCATATTGTAATCCATAGAGAAATTGGCTAATAAGTGCAACATCATCCCACTTGATATCAGTTGCAAGTTGTCAAAATTAAAAAACATATAATATTATAGATTAATTATTTTATCATAAAATATGGATCTTGTTAGTTGCAATACAAGTTGCATCATGTTCTCCATACATAGAACGAAATTCTACTAAAAAAGCCTTCAAATTATTCAATATTAGATCTCGTTGTTCTAAAAAAGATAAAAACCATGATAATGTTAAATCTGAAAGAAATATATCAATTAATCTAACTTATGATCCTATTGTTAGATAGCTTTAGGATTGAAGTTCAATCTCAAATTATACTTGATTGATAAATCCTTGAAACTTAGATCTAGTGCCATCAAACTTCTCAAGCAAGGCAATTGTTGATTTTCTAGTACCAAAAGGATGTTCCACCATAGGAGAAGGAACATGATTGGGTGCAGATGTTGGAGTAGCTCCAATCATATCTATATCATCACTTCTTGCCATTCTTGTTGCTCTTTGTGGAAGTAAACTGAGTTGATGCATCGCAAGCATTAACTCCCTCAATTCTTCTTGCATTTGTGCCATTGCACTCTTTATTATAACAAGCTCTGCCATGATAATACTTAAAAAATAAATATCTAATGTTGCTCAAGACAAGCAAAAGAGGGAACTTGAGAAAAAAGAAGATACTAAGAATAATATTAGTTTAGAATAAGATAATATACTTCTAATATATCCATAACTTCTAATATACTTATGTCTTATAAAAAAAAAAAAGTAATCCACTCTTAATCAAGAAAAGACAAAGTTCTAATATTGTAAGTGTACTCTTGTCAATTTGTCAAGGACACGAATTGGAAGAAGATGCATAAACCTGTATTAAAAGAAAAGTGAAAAAATAGCAATAAAGTAGTATTTATATTAAAAAAAAATTAGAATGACTATTGCCAAAAGACAAGAAAACTAGAGATTCTTAAATCTACACTAAAAGCAAAAAAAGAGTTGACAAAAGTGAAGAGGGCTTCACTCTTGCCTCTATATATACTATCTAATTAGGAGCTACATGGCAATGTTCTATAGGACCTCTAATATATGTTGACTTTGCAGGACACATGCCTTAGCTTACAAGGCAAGTTTTCTACGTATGAGCCACATAGTTAGCTTGTTCTTTAAGCTACCAACATGTGTGGCATATGGCCAACTTATTGACCACGTTTCTAATCTAAAAATTCAATTAAAGATACTTATAAAGTCAAAGCAATATCTACCAAGCTTCTAGAAAGCTTTTATAGAAGATATTCTAGAATTAACCTACTTTTATTTATTTTTATCTAAACCATATAGGTAATTATTAGTTTACATGTATATGTCCATGATACCATTATAAGAAACAATTTTAATTCCACTTTGTCATAATATCAAGAATAGTCACCCTTTTGAAGAAATTAATCCAATTGCTTAATAATTATATCTATCAAAGTCTCTAAGGATCCAAATCATATTCTATATGTCTCTTTTTGAGCTATATAGGATAGTGAATATATCAAAAAAAAGATAAATTCCACGACCTCCTACAGAAGTAGATAATCATCAAGAGTTTGAGATGAAAGACATCCTAGACTCAAGGTAGCATCAAAATAGGTTAAAATATCTTATTCATTAGTACAAATATGATATTAATAAATGCATAGGAAAATCCGCCAAGAATCTTGTAATTACAATAAAGAAGATTGATGCTTTTTATTAATAATATCCATCAAAACTAAAATAAAAAATAAAAAATCTTTATCATCAAAGAAATATAATTTAGAGAAGATTGCACTCTACTTTCTATCCTTGCTTATAATTTTTTTGTATTTTTTTTACTAAAAAAATAAAGAAGTAAAAATCAATAGATTTAATTCAAAAACTATTATTTACAAACTTATTAGATGAGACATTGCAATTG